ATGAGAGGATTTGAGGATATATGTGTATTAGAGGATTGGATCGGAGAGAACTTAGGAGTAAGAATGATGATAACATGCACAGAATCTAAAGTTTTAATCTTGTTAATGTCATTGATAGAAGAATGAGGATTTGAGTGGTTATTTAAAATTTAATTAACTTGAAAACGGTAATATATAAAAATTAACTTACTATTTAATAAACACTGATTTATATATTCTATGTACATGCAATGCAAGGGTGAAATGTTGAGTTGAAGAAATATGGGTTAATTTGTCTGGGCTAGGGTTGTGTTGATAATTGATTAGTTAAAAGCACATAAGTGGGAAGGCATTTGTTTAATATGGCATTTCAAACGTTTGTATTAATACGTATATGGAATATTATAGTTATAAGGGGATACTGAAAGGGATGGGGGGAAGTGTTGATTGTTGCGAATGAACCACCAAGGCATGAAAGTGACATTTGCTTGTATGAATCGCAAGCTAAAGCTTTGAAAGTAATATACAAATGATTTTTAAAATAGACCTTTAGGAGGAAATGAAAAGGAAAATGATTGTGCTTAGCTTTAAGGAGGAGCAAGGGAGAGGTATGTGGGCCTGCAAGTTGGATTTTTAACCAGTGATTAGTGAGAAAAATAAAAAAAAATAACTATTAAGGACATTGCCTTTATAAGCATGGTTGGTTAAGTTATTAAGTCATGAATGAAATGTCTCCACCATTGCCACTTTTAATACAGATGTGATCCGCATGTTCCTCTCCCAATTCTTTCTTTATATCTATTCATGAATCATACTACGTCAATCAATACAAATAATGTACTACTACTACACTGTAGTTTATGAATGAACCGTGCATTTTTCATATCGACCCATCTTTCCTTCAATGGAAGCCCTCTTTCCCCTGTTCCTAATAATAGAAGCATCAAAAGTCCCCAAAAAGCTATAAATAAAAAAATAAAAAAAAAACAATCATAATTATACATGAAAAATGTGCTGGCGTATCAAATTGAATCAAGGGGAGGATCAACAGAAAAAGGTAAGCGGGGTCGAGTAAGAAGAAAAATGGACAAGGCAATATGATACTTCGGATGACTTTTCCAATAACAATAATAGAACATGCACCCCCTCTCCCCCTTCTTCCCAAGAAAGAAAAGAATATGCTTAAATGTATACAAGTGCTGTTTTCTCTACATGCCTTCCTCAGTTCATTATTTATTTACAATGGTGCTAGAAAAGGGGATTTTGATTACGCTTCTTCTTGATTGTTGTTGGAAAATTGAAGCAAAAATGCTCTACTCGATGCCTAGGTACCTATCACTTTTGAAAATGAACGAGTACTGGTTTAAATGCGTGGCTCTATGAGAAAGTGGGGGATGAAATACATCTTAATTAATGAAAAAATTGCATCCATACAATTATTTTAAATATAAAATTTAAGTAAGTTGGATCTCGACTATATAAACTTCAATTTCTATTGAGATCCCGTAAGATATTTTATTATTATTATTAACATTGATTTTCTATTTTCATATTCTAATAAGAACATAACAAGATCTCTAAAAATTTCAATAGGCTAAAAAAAGTATATATAAGAGTATTTATAAGTTACTTATTAACAATATTCTCATACCATTTTAAAAATACGTATTTTTATCAAAATTAATTTTATAACATCAAGATGAACATTATTTTTTATTTATATATTATATTTTAGTCATATTATTGGTTGACATATTATTTTTAATGTATCAATAAGTTCTTGTAAGATATAAGTTCTCTCATAACCAAATGAATCACCTTTTACAGGTAGTATCCACTTTTATATATATATATATATATATATATATAAAAGCCTTTAGTTTTAGGTTGTTTTATGTTTATATTTTATAAGTTATGAGTTATCAATAAATGTCCGCAAACAAATGCAAAAATTTCAGTTCAAAAGGATGCATGTGGGCATTGCAAATTCAGCACCCTTTCTAAAATCCTATTAATATGTAAAATAATATATATATTGCAGCAACCTCGGTCGCGACGGGACGACGAAAAATAAATTGAAAAAGAGAAGTTGTCACCAATGTTATTTTTTACAGAAAAATATTGGAAAAACCATAAAATATAAAATAGTCTACGAAAACCAAATTTTTGGGTTCGGGAGTCGATTACGTGTGAGGAAGGTATTAGCACCTCACAACGTTCGTCCTAAGACGATTACCTTTAATTAATTAAACTAATTATTAATAATTTATAAAATATTTATCTCACTAAAATGATCAAATATATTTTATTTAACTAAATTATCATTGTATATATATATATATAAAAGTTAAAATTATTATTGTTATATAAAAAGGAAAATAATATTTTTTATTTTTTGGCTCGACAAGATTTATTTCTTGCTCCTACGTATCTTCATGTGTAATGAAGAATCAGAGTCACGTAGTTCTTTGATAGAAAATATTTGTGTGTTGATGTTTTTAATTAAATTTTATTTTTGTTAAATATAGGATTCTTGAACTGTCTCAGCTCATTCACCCTAAAAATATAAAATTGACTAAGGTGTACACCAAAGTCAATTCAATAAAATTTTAATTATAATTATTGCTAGAGATGTTATGATATTAAAAAATTTATTAATTGGACATTTTCGTTTTTGGAGAAAAAATTTAAAGATAAGCTGTCACAACTTGTACTTTAAATTCAAAGGTTAAAAAGATGTCACATCTAGTTAACCATTCCTCCAATAAAATTTTTAATACAATGATTTCAGATATTTACATTAAATATTGTAACATTATATTTTGATATTTAATCACATTTTGGATTTAAATAAAGACTAATGACAGATATTATTAATATAAAAAATAATAATAAAAAGAAGTGAGTTCGATGTACTTATTATTCTTCGCCCAAGAAGTGGTAACTCGCTAGTCTCTTCCTCCAGGTTCCCTCTGGTCTAAGGTGGAGATGTGTGTGTGGGTGTGTGTAGGTGCCCTTTGGGAAGGCAATGACCGCTATTTATAGACTTTCAGGAGGGACTGGAACGACCCGTTCTGAATCCGGAACGGCCCGTTCGGGGGTTACAATTTTACTCACAATGGCCAACTTCGGAACGGGCTGTTCCAATTTCGGAACGTCCCGTTCTGGGCTAGAATTTAGAAGTGTTTTTGGAGTTTGGAAACGGCTCGTTCCGGGCTAGAAATTATAGTTCTTTTTAATAGGTTAGAACGTCCCGTTCCAGTTTGGGAACGGGTCGTTCCAAATTTTGGGAACAGCCCGTTCTGGGCTAGAATTTATAAGTCTTTTTGAAAGGTGGGAACGGCCCGTTCCAGTGTGGAACGACCCGTTCCGGGATAGAAACTTTAGATCTTTTTTGAAGGTTGGAACGGCCCGTTCCAGTTTAGGAACGGCCCGTTCCGGGCTAGAATTTATAGTTGTTTTCGGAAGGTTGGAACGGCCTGTTCCATTTTTGAAATGGCCCGTTCCAGTTGTTAAAATCATATGAAAATTATTAAATTACCCTCCACAAAAGTATAAAAATTGAAGTGTTACATTTGGCTTATATTTTTGTTTTTTTTATTCTTTCTTGTACATACTTTTTTGCTATTTTTTTAAACAAATATTGACATTTTCCGGACGAAATTAGGTTACTACGTATATATATATATATATATATCAAATATTTAAGTCCAACATTCAAGTTCGATGTTGAAGGAATAAACTCTCATTATAATATTTTTATCTTTCTATATTTTACTATAAAATTTCTAATCATTATTATTATTTTTTTGTTAAGTATAAAATAAGAAAATAATCAAAATAATAAATCATTTTATTTTAACTCTTTTAATGATAAATAAATAATAAAGGAAATTTTATGCTGAAATAATAAAATGAAAAGGAAAAAGGAAACTTAGAAATTATCTAAAATTATATAATACACATTCCCTTTATAGGTATAGATAGATAGATGAGTTGATTTTATTTTTATCGTTATATGTTCGTTAATGTTTGGGCGTGGCCCCCCTCGGGGAAAAAAAATAGTATCAATTTGAACTAACTTAACCAATCAGGATATTTAATTTTTAGACAGAATTGGGCTTAGCCCATTGGTTGTGAGCAGAACGGATGGGTTAGCCCATCAAATAATCCTTTGCCTTAAAAAAGACTTCATAACCATATTAATGTTTAATAACGTGATAATTTATAGTATGAACTATTTATATTAAATATGAAATAATTTATTTACTATGTCATATAAATTCAACATACTATGTATTAATATTTTATGTTTAATTTCGTATACTCCTTTTCCTTATATGAATTAAATATATTTTTAATCACTTGTATATTATTAGCGAATGAGAAATGGTATCAAACAATAACAAAATGCACATCTCCCATGCATACCTCCTACGCCGAACAATAAACGAATAAGAAGCAATACTTAATACTATGTTCTGGGAACGTGTCTTTTCTTTTCTTTTGACAACACAATTTATATATTTATATGGATTTTGTCTATACATAAATTGCTTATGCTTTTAATTTATTGTTTGATGTATATAGTTAACTATGATTCAGGTTCACTAATGGCGGCGGTATTTGATTACAGTAGAAAAATCTTAGCATAAATACAGTCAAGTCAACCTTGCATTTTCCTTTTTTATAAACGCATCTTATGTATAACTTTCTATTAAGCAATATATCTTTATTTTATAAATACGAATATATCCACTTTTATATAAAAGAAATTTTACTATTACTATAATGTTTGAATTATTATAATGTTTAAGAAGTTCAATTTTAATTTAGTTTTAAATTTTAAATTTTGATGTATCATAAAAATAAAAGATATATGAATGATTTATTTTTAAATACTAATTATTATAACAATAAAAATATCTCTTTCATACTTAATTTAGTTTTTTTAAAAACACGTAATTAACCATTTTTAATAATATTAAACATTCCAAATAATTAGCGACAGGAAGAAATAATGGATAGAAAAATGAAGACATTTATTATTAATATTAATGTTGACATTACAATGTCCATAACAGAATACGTAAACGAAAAACAAGAATGTTACAAACTTGTTTGAGCATGAAAGCAATAAGTTAAAAAGAAGAAAAGAAAAATCCCCAGGAGGCATGAAGCATGGGAGTAAAGAGGATCGAATATTGTAAGTTGTAACGTGGTTGGTTATGACTTATGATCAAGTAGTGGCTTTAACAAGAGGCGACTGAGGAAAAGGTGAGTGAGGTGAGGATAAGAACTCATCCAACCTTCGGGAAGAGAAGCTGAGCCTCAACTCTCTAAGGCCACAAGATTTCTTGCCTTGGGTGACGAAGGTTCGCATTCTGGCCAGAGAAAGCTGCAGGGCTCTGTCATCCATGTTGGCATAGCACACCCTGAACCACCCTGGCTCGCAACAGTGAAAAGAAGAGCCAGGGGAAATGTTTATCTTAACTTGCTCAATAATCACTCTCCAGAGCTCCATTTCCGCTTCAAAACTAGCCCTCTTCAAAAGATGACGCAAATCCATCCACACAAAAACTCCCGCATGGCTCTCCAAGCACTTTATGCCAACTTCCCCAAGTCCCCTACACAAAACACCGTACCTTTTCGCAAGCCGTTTTCCACTCTCTTCCACGAACCCTTCCACAAACTCATCATCATTAAGCATCGAGGCCAAGAGGTATTGCGTCTGCGTGGACACTAACCCGAAGCTGGACATTTTGCGCGCGCAATTCACCACTGCGTCGTTGTAAGAGTATATGATGCCAACTCTGAACCCGGGGAACCCCATGTCCTTCGAGAGACTATAAACCACGTGGATTAGGTCATGGTCGCATTCTATGTCTTTCTCTTCCTCTATTATTTCGGAGATGCTCGTGAAACTGTTGCCACCCTGCCCGAAAACTGTGCCCGCGTAGATTTCGTCGCTTACTAGGTGGATGCGTTTTTCGTTGATGAAACTCACCACTGTTCTTAGAGTTTCTCGGTCCATCGTGGTTCCTAATGGGTTTGACGGGTTTGTGATTAGCAACCCTTTTATTCTCACCTTCTCCTCTTTCGCTTTCTCGTACGCTTCTTCCAACGCTTCCCTTGTCAACTTGAAATTGTTAGAGCTTTCGCAGATAACTGGAACAAGTTCAACGCCCGTTCTCCACCTCAAATCCCTGTCGAAACTGCATTACCAAATCCAATTCATTTCAATTAAAACTCACACATATATATTTCTTGCTTATTTAATTACGGATCGAGTTATGCATCACAATCCAATTACACCCACGTCAATTTTCTGAAAATCCATCTTAGTCCTGATTATCAATTTCGACTCATGTTTTTCTGTGTTTAGTCTTTGGCCGTGACAACCATCAGAAAAGGACAGTGGATTAATTAAACCATGCTGTATTATTATTGACCAACATGCCTTGATGTATATATATATATGAAGAGCAACTTCCAGCTACTTAATTAATTGTGGTTTAGTTGAGATTTAATTTGACCGGCTACTTCTTGGTCATTACTAAATTAAATTCCATTTTAGTCACCTTCCATGGAAGAAATATATATAACGGTTCGTTTTTGTTGAATACTCAAAATATATACATATATACATATCTCTACGTTAATATAATATTGTCCACTTTAAACTTAAATTCTCATAATTTTATTTTTAGTTATTTTTTAAAAAATCTTACATCAATAATTTTTTATTGTGTATTTTATAAATTTTTTTTTCTCTTTATGATCTAAAAATGTAAAACTTGATCTGTATCCATCAGTTCTTATATCGAAATGTTGCATAATGAGTCTATTAAGTAAAAAAAAAAATTTGTTTCAATTGACGTTCGTCTTTGCAATTTGCAAGCCTGATTTTCTCTTAAATTATTGTTTATCCACCAAAATTAAAATGAAATAATTATAATTATCAAAAGAAAAAACTTAGTGTAAGAGAAGTTATATTGTAAGTGAGTATATATCCTGAACTAAATATTGTATGCATGGAAATTGAAGTGAATGTATTAATTACCCTGGATAATAAGGTGTGGGGACCAAAAATGCATCGCCGGGATCTGCTAAACAGAAGACAGTGACCTCGTGTGCTCCGGTTGCTCCACCGCTCATAACAATACGGTCGGGGTCGAACGTCACTCTATTACCTCTCGTTCTTCCCATGAATTTAGCCACGGCCTGTGTACAAATTAATAGATATGTTAATTCACCATTAATTAGCCAAATTAAGTTAGTTTGTTTGATTTGATTATTATGGTTTTAAATATAATTTCTCATTCACTCACTTTTGTGAACTCCGGCAGACCATGGTAGTCCTGAAAATTAGCTATGGCCTTGAAATCACGCACTCCTTCCGGAGTGCAAATGGAGGCCCCAGGATTACTCATTAACCATTGTTGAACCAAGTCAGAAGTAAGCTGCAAAACGATGTGGAAAAAATAATAAGTATACATGTATTAATGTAAGACTAGCATGTGTCTATGATTTGGATTAATATTTATGTATAGTTTTTGGTATTGGAATAATTATATACCTGATTTTCTGCAAGACCCATCTGGATAACCCCATTAGGATTTTTGATGGGATGAAAGGGATCATTTTCATAAGCCTTCCACCCATCAAAATATGGGGAGTTCTCACCATGTCCATCGCCGATGGCAATCCTAGACAGTAATTGGGTTTGGTTCACGCTCATTAGCTCCATTTGGGGTATGTCTATTCTATGTCTACTTACTTTCTACCAAATTAGTTGTTTAGCGATTGAGAGAGAAAGCAATTAAGGGAGGGTTTTGAGTGGTCGGAAAAATTTGCCTTAGGCCCTTGTGCTTCTGCTTCTGCTTCTATGTGTTAATTACACGTCTAGTGGTGGATGAGCTATGAGAGGTATTTATGCATATTTATAGCGTGTTTCCTCAAATTAACGTTGATTTTCAAAGGTCAGAATCCCGGTCCATCAAATATGAAATGAAGTTTCCTGCGAAGGATATCACTGGCTGCTTACTTCTTTTAAAAGTGGTCCTCTCCCTCTCTATGTCTTATCCATTTACAACATCAAACAAATAACTGACCACGATCAATAATCTGAAATTTAGTTAACAAAATGTTTCTTGCTTTTTTAATATCGCAAATTATTCCTCGTACAATATGTTTGAGGGTTAGAAATTATATTTAATGAAAATGATACAATTTTCATTATTTTAATGGCTTAAATTAAATGACGACTAGGGGATCAACTGAATTAATATGGTCCTAAATTTTATGCTCGAGCAGAATTGTGTTATAAAGGATAAACGTATTTAAAAAAAACTGAAATAAGATAAAATGAAATCTAATAACCAAATTTTCCATTTTGTATTTCATTCTATTCTATTCGCTGCTTTTCTTCTCTTTCCAATTAGAGAAAATGGGATGAAATTATTGTTTTCATTATAAAAATATTCGAATAATATATAGAATGATAGCTTATTCTATTTATTATATTATTGTATCTCCTCTAGGTCACGGTGTAATTGATGGACGAGCACGTTAGATAGACCGGTGTTTTAAAAACCGGATTCTGACCGGTTGGGCCGGAAACCGGTGGTCCAGCCGGTCTGAATCTTAAGTTAGATCGGTTATGCAGTCCACCCATTTCAAACCGGATTGAACTGGTCAATTTTTCGGTTCAATCGGTGAACCGGTGGGTCAAACCGGCTCAACCACACTTTTTTTTTAAGGAACCATAAACCACAAAAATAATAATAATAATTGAATCTTTTAATGGAAGAGTAAAGAGTCATATTAAATATAACAATGACTACTTGTTCTAATGTATTTGTTTGTAATATATACAACTTAAATAACTTTTATAGTATATTATTAATTTTAAATTATATATTTAATAATATAATATCTATGTAGATATTACATATATTATTTTGTGATATCAATTGCAAGCATATTATATATGTACATATTATTTATATTTTTAATTTGTATTAATATACAGTTTCACATGTAATTTTTTTATGTATTTCTTTACAAAATAAAAATAAAAATAATTTTAAATAAGATAGAAAAATTGAAATTTAAAATAATATAAATTTATTAAAATTTATAAGTATAAAATATATTTAACATGAATATTTTTTTAAAAAAAATAATAAAAATCAAGTCATGAGGTTCAACTAGTGACCCACCGATTCAACCTTTAACTCACTGACTCAGTACCTTAACCAGTTTGATGACCGGTCCGATTTTTAAAACTATGAGATAGAGGACGAGGAAGTAGTAGCTGTGAGCAAAAATAGGGGCTGGTAAATAGTATTACGATCGAGTCATGGAATGATTTTGCGATGAACAGATCGAAATGCATTGAATCGGACAATAGATTGGAGTTCAGCTGCTTAATTTGGTAGTGTCATTGCAGGAGTTGTCAATGCTACGTGATCCATGATTAGTAGTAAGTGTTAGTTTCTCCTCCTTGCTAAACTTTAATGACGTCCGTGGAAATTTGAAACTCTCAAAAAGTATGTCTGTTTTTTTATTTTTATTTATATATATATATATATATATATATATATCGGTGATAATTACAAATAACAGTGATAAGTTTCAAACATTAAAAAAAAACGTGTATGTTTAATTTAGAGCAGGTTATAATTAAATTTTGTTGACTAATTATATTTTATCTTGAGTGAAGCTTTCTTCTATAGAGCTAAAGTGTAATATTGATGTCGCTGATTTTACTGATTATAGTTAAAGAATTTGCATCCGTAATTATTATGTTTTTTTTTCTTCAATTTAACCGATTGATATCAAAATAATATTACACCTTTAAAATTAGAAACAATTACTTTATTCAATGCATTGATAGGGGTCATATTTATAAATTTCATATAAGATATTGAATTTGATTGTAAGTAAATTGTCAATACTATAACATGTAAAAACATTATAAACAGTGATCTTAGTTCCATTTTATCGAAAATTGAAAAGATTTTGATTAGAAATTTGAAATTTGTTTGTAAACAAATCAATCAAATTGTTTCTACTTTAGTTAGAAAGTGTAGATTTTATATTATAATTTGCATGTTCGTGAGTTTTATACTTTTTTGTACCTAATATATTAATATATATAAAAAATGCATGTGATTTACTTTATCCTTAAAAAAATTGAAATTTTTTAAATTACATATATTTTTTAAAGAAATTTATTTGATTTGAGAAGCATAAAATCAATTTATTAGTATGAGTATTAATCTCTAAATAATTAAGGTAATTACTTTATAATCTGAATTTGAACTATGGTCAATAATTAAGCTAAAATAAGTCAACATAAGTTAATTCACGCGGTTAATAAGTTTATTCTTTTATTAGACACATTTAATAATAGAATTGAATTTTGAATATCATTAGGATTAACTTAGTGATTGAAGTAGATGTACAAAAACTTAAATTCAATTTTCTTTGTTGTTGTTATAATTTTCCTACCTATTAAAAAATTGATTAAAATTTGTGTTTTAAATTAATTTAAGTTACATATTTATATGAATATATGTTTTGTATTTAAAAATGTGAGAATTAATTTTTATTTTAAAATAATATTTAAATATTTTTGTCTAAAATATAAGAAAAATTCATTTATGCTGATATAAAATTATATAAATTTTAACTAATTTCAATTTATTTAATAAAATTATATCTAACATACCTTAATTAATACGAAATTACTTGATATAAAAAAGGGTGATATTTAATTTTAGTCTCCTAAAAATAATCGGCCTCTTTTCTATATTTCATTTGTGAAAATGCGTCAAATGTTCATTGTCTTTCCAAAAAAATGTTTCTTTTTGGTTTTTTATTTATAAAAATAAGTCCTACATATGATAGATTTCCAAAAAAAAAAATCCAAAACAAAGAGAAAATGGACTAAAATCAAATATTATCTTATTCGTAATGACTAAAAATATATTTATCTTCAAGATAAATAATTATTATTTCAGCTACTAATTTTCTTTCAATAATTTAAAGTACCAGTATTAGATTTTTATTTATTTTTACATAAATTGAAAATTGCGCAGGAGTTGGTGGGTAGTCAATCTCACAATAAATTACGCGTTGCTGTATTGTTTACGTTGAAAAATGCATTATATTTAAATTTCATATTATTAATAATACATAGATAGTAAAATTATTTACTGAATTTGAATTTTTATAAAATTATTAGAATTTAATTAAAATACATTATCACTAATACAAAATAAAATTAAGGTTTTGCAATTGTGGTTTTTAAATTGATATTGTGATTTAGTCACAAATTTTTTTATTGTAAGAAATTATACATACAAATGTAGCTAATGCATCTATAATTGTAATCACAATTACTTGAGAAACCTTGAAATTACTACCGGATTCTGGTGTACGATTGTTTAAAGAGTTAATCACCTATATATTGTCAGTATAAAAAAAAATTTATATTAGCAACTAATTATATTTCTTAATTGTGTCATGTCACTGTTAAAAGTAAATATGTTTATAGTGACATGACACAATTAAGAGATATAATTAGTTGTCAGTATAAAAAAAACTTTACACTGACAGTGTATAGATGATTAATTCTTATTTAAAATCTATATTTGAAGATAGATTTCTTTTGTATAAAAAAATGTTATTTTCGACACTCTAAATTAGTTTTGTGTGAATATTTAAAATTAATTAATATAGAAAATCAGTGTTCTCTATATTATTCAAGATTCAAATTCAATTTAAGAAGTGACTTTAGATTAATTTTATAATTGAAATATATTTAAGAAGTAACTTTATTGATTGGCTACGAACGAAATCAATATAAAATACAATCAATATTATATACGAAATAATGTTTTGTGTTTACCTTTTTATATACAAAAATGTAACATATATTACCAAACACAAATAAATTAATGAGATTATTTTATTAGAAGATACATGTAACTTATCTGAGGATTATTATAATAATAAATTTACTTAAATTTATTTAACTCAATAACACATATTTTATATTAAAATTTAACAATTCAATTGTTAAATTAAAATTTTTTAATACATAAATTAAGTCTTAAATTTTTTTAAAATTATTTAATATTTTATTTCATTAATTTAAATAGATGAATAATTATAAAAAATATTTTATATATTAATTTAAATTAACAAAACGTAATATTAAATAATATTTAATTTTTTTGATAAATTTATAGATTTAATTTATGTATTAATAATTTTTAATTTAATAATAAATTATTAAAATTTAATGTAAAATATAAGTTATTGAGTAAAATAAATTTAAATAAATGTTAAAATATAAATGAGATGAATGATATATAATTATATATAAATTAATCTAAAAAGAAAAGTATCCTTCAACTCGTTTTGAATGAATTATGGGCTTAATGAGGAAAAATGAAAATAAAAAATGTACAAAAATAGAAGTTAATAATGACTGCTATTAATGGTACTTTAATGGATTGCAGAATTTGACTAGATATAGTCCCGTTCGTTGTTTCTAGACGAGAGAGGAATTTGCATTGCCTTCATAAATTGGTTTGCTTTCGGCCAAGAGCAAAAAATTGGTCGGAGATGGAAAGTGACATGTCTGCGTCTAAGTTAATGTGGAAATTGAGATTTTCAAGAAAGGAATATAACACCACACTATTCATTTTCACCACGTGGGAGGCTCAGTCACAATATCACACGCATCCACCATAATTCAATTATGCAATTCAAACACTATATTAATCCTCAATATTCAACAAAATAACTCCAATAGTTTACAAGGGTCGCCAGTTTTAAATTTTAATGCCATATTTTTCTCAACAATTAAAAATAGCTAGTTCAAACAAATAATACCATAAAATTACATTTTATAATTTA